TTCTCTACCACCAAGGGGACAGGTGTTAAACCCCCTTTGGTCTTTCACTATCTTTGTGTTGCCATCCCAGGGAACTATATTCCACACCTCAACTCAACTTCATATGAACTGGGCCCCAACGAGCACGCGGAAAACACTGTACTGTTCTTCAAGGGACAGTGCTCAATTTCAACTGAAAATTCACTTTCCTTCACATCTAACCCTTGTCATCTAGTTCTGAGGACCCACAGTGAGCTTACCTTTTACATGCTTTGATGAGCCTTTGATTTTCCGATCACGCTCTGATAGAAATCATCGATCTATAGTCAGCAACCCATTCGACTGATATGTCACACACAGAGAAGTGGATTTCGAATGATAGTTAAGGTGGTGGGTGTGACTTGACAAAGGAAGCCATGCTTCCGAAACGCATCATCATAGCTACCACGCCTGACATTCCCTCCTCCCTTCCTCTCCGGAGCAGAGAGATGTGAACACCATGTGTGCGCTGGCTGGTTCAGGCGCATGCACAGTAGTGGCGGTACACTCTGTTAGGCCGCTCCAGGACTGAGGGGAGCTGCTTACCAACCAGCTCATCATATGGTTTATCCTACTAATGCTGGAAAGGAGCCAAGGAGCCGAGGAGGATTACCATATCAAAAGTGCCTTTTTATAACTGTACCATGTGAGTGCAATTGGTTTTATGATTTTATCTATTAAATAATGGAGTTACACTAGGGCAGTTGTGAGCTCTCTGTTTTTTTTTACCCTGTTTCTTGTTAGCTGTTGTTTTCTGCTCACTGTGGATTCAGCAGGATCCTCAGATTGGAGGCAGTGGGTTATTTTTGAAAGCAGGCCTGCTAACAGTTATTGTTGCTTCATGGTGAATGTTGTTACTTTTGCTCACAATTACAAAGAGTGGTTATTTTTGATACATATATCAATGTCATTTTGTTCTTTTAGACCAAGTTATCTTTGATTTCAATATAAACTTCATACTGATTTACACTAACTCGTGTGTGAGTCCATTTTATGGTTTTCTTTGGTCACAGGAGCACGGTGGTGTCAGCAGAGGTTGGGCTTGCAACAGATTGACAGATTTCCAGATTGACAAGGAACCCAAAGTAATTGCTAAACAACCATTAAGGGGGTAGAGCTACAATGAAAACACAGGTGTCTCTGCATAGAAAAAATACTCTTGTTTACAGAAGTGAATCCAATAAAAGCAGTTTGAAGTTCTGTCGCTGCTATAAAGTAACTGTAAAAAAAAAAGAAAAGGAAATTCTACAGCCAAATATGTGTTGCCAAAGTACTCTGTTTCTGATTCAGTCCCTGAAAATCATGGTCGGCCCATGAAATTATATACAGCTTTATGGCATTTCCCTAACCTGTGATTTAAAGGATTTGAGTATTTCTCCTGTCACCCTAAAAGCCATATAAACAAGTATAAAAAAACAAACTGCATTAGCAAAGGTTCCCCAGAGCTGTGAGAACTTCCTATGCCATTTCAGTGTTACAATATTTTGTCTAGCAGCCCTCCAAAAGGCCAACGGTGATCAGTAAAAATGCCCCCCTGACTGACTTCAGTTCTATTTGAAACTCAAGTTCGTCTTATTTTTTTTTTGCTTTGAAAAATTCATATGAAACTGTATTTTGGCAGTTTCACTCATCATTAAAATGTGACTTAAGAACTGCTTTCTAAAGATAAACTGTAGAACTTTCCTTTTTAATTATGACATTACTGTATATGATGTGACAGGAAATTATTTATGAAAACTTTTAAAGTTACTCAAAGGATAACTGCAAGTAAATTATGCAGAAGTCAGCTGAGACAACAGGATCAATGTGGTCTACAGATCCGTCTAAAGCAGCCTTTCACGAAAGATATTATATAACTTACAAGCTGTACATTATTTCTGGGGCAGTAAAGTACCTGTTTAGCACCAGTGTGAACAAGGTGATCATCCTGGAACATAGAGCCTGGATGAGAGACTATTGCAATCTCTAATATACTGTATATCCTCCAGTTTTGAACACTTAAAGTGTTCCTAAACCCATCACCCTGCATTCACTACATCTTGTCTCCCACAGTACACACAGAACATGGAAATTAAATTTTTTTTTTGCAAATACCTTCTCTCATCAGCAGTATATAGCAGTCTTGTGACTTCTATCAGTGTCTGGTCGAGCACTGGTTAAAGTTTGACCTTGCAGCCTCATAGGACTGTTCTATGAGGCTGCGTGACTCCTGACCCTCTGTCTGGACAGTGCTGATTGGCCCTGTGCCAATCACATGCACCCTCCAAAAAAAAAAAAAAATATTCTAGCAATACACACCAAACTGAGCATGTGCAGAGTGCCTCCTAGAGTGCTGTACTATCAGCAGATGGATTGGGGACAGTAGAAGAAGGGGAGGATCAGAGAAGACAGGATCACACATCCTTTTTACACAATGCTGTAGATTAACCCCTTAGGTTCTACAGTGAGTATAACTAACAAGCATGCTTTACTGCATATATAGACTGATTTTCCTGTTGTGGGTTTAGTAACACTTTAATTTGTAGCTTTATTTTCAGTTATGCACAGTGCTCAGCATAAATGAGTAGACCCTTTTGAAAAGTGAGATTTGAATCAATATCTCAATGGACACAAGACCAATTTTTCCCAAATTTTGACAAAACTGATTTTTATAGAACATTTGTTTAGCTCAGTAAGGTTAACAATATAATTTAGATTACAAAATTATCGGTTTTACTCAAATTAGTTAGTGCAAAAATGAATACACCCCACAACAAAAACTACTACATCTAGTATTTGGTATGACCTCCATGATTTGTAAGGACAGCACCAAGTCTTCTAGGCATGGAATGAACGAGTTGGCGACATATTGAAACATCTTTTTCCATTCCTCAGGAACAACCTCTTTTAGAGCCTGGATGCTGGATGAAGAGTGATGCTCAACTTGTCTCTCCAGAATTCCCCATAGGTGTTGGATTGGGTTCAGATCTGGAGACATACTTGGCCACTAAATCACTTTCACCCTGTTCTTCAGAAATGCAACAGTGGCCATAGATGTGTGTTTTGGATCATTGTCATGTTGGAAAAGTGCACGGAGTGATGGTAGCATCTTATCTTTCAGTATAGAGCAGTACATCTGTGAATTCATGACACCATCAATGAAATGCAGCTCCCTGACACCAGCAGCACTCATGCAGTCCCACAGAAGGACACTGCCAGCACGTTTCACTGTAGGCACCATGCATTTTTCTTTGTACTCCTCACCTTTGTGATGCCATACAGTTTTAAAGCCATCAGTTCCAAAAACATTTATCTTGGTCTCATCACTCCAGAGTACAGAGTACCAGTAGTCTTCTTATTTTTCAGCATGGGTGCTGGCAAATTCTAGGCATTGTGTAAAAAGGATGTGTGATCCTGTCTTCTCTGATCCTCCCCTTCTACTGTCCCCAATTCATCTGCTGATAGCACAGTGCCCTAGGAGGCACTCTGCACATGCTCAGTTTGGTGTGTATTGCTAGGCTTTTTTGTACATGGGCTTTAGGAGAGGCTTCCTTCGTGGACGACACCCATGCATGCCATCCCTCTGTAGTATTTGTTTTATAAAAGTGCCCTTTTATAATCAGCTGTCTGCTGGACACCTGTTTCATTAATATAATTAGACTCACCTGTAGCTGAATTCTTGTTAATTAGGATTTTGCTGTCTAAAATGTAGCTTTGCTCCTAAGACTTTTATTGGGGTGTATTAATTTTTGCAACATGGTCTTGAATGAATTTCTTAGGAAAAATACTTTTTTGTGTGTGCAAATTAACAAATCTTGTTTGCAACCAAAGGCCCATTTATGGGAGTATTTTGGAGTATAGTATCCCATAGCAAATGTTGATTCTGAAAGGAAAGTAAAGGTTTTCTGACATCTGTTGGGGTGTACTCATTTATGCTGAGCACTGTATAAATCAAGACAGGCAGTTCATAGGAGAATGACAGTATTGCACGGTCTGTGCAGCCAGGTGACATAATTGTAATGATGTATTAGGTTCTGTGCCAGGATCCCCCAAATCTTCATTTGCACATACCTCACCTAACTCAAAGATTTAACTATTCATATTGTATGTTCTGGCTTTTACCCCAATTCTGTTTCTGAGGTTGGCTAAGCAAGGTGACACATTACACAAATGAAGAGTACTCTGTTCCCACTGTATTGTAAATGCTGATTCATTACAACTAGCGCCAAGGTATTCTACCAGGAGTTGTTGCATTGTCAGACATTGCTCATCACATAGTTACCTAAAACTGATACACCCAACCAAATGACCTGCTGATCACCTAATAGAAAAAAAAATGACAGACACCCAATCAATTAACTAGAAAGGAAAGGAAAACACTGGAATAGCAGTGTAATGAAGATTACAAAAACTACTCCTAAAAAATACAAGAACCTCAAGGAGCCCTTCACGGTAGATTTTCAGGTGTACGGTACAAATTGACACCTGACAGAAGTTAGTCTTTATCTGAAAGCCTATTTCTAGCAATTAGAGTTAGTAACAAGTTTGATTTAATAACAGCCATGTTTCCAGACTGGGATCATAGGAAATGAGCAGAATGACATGACTCTCATTTTTTCCTAGGAGAACTGTCAGTGCTATTACCCACTGTAATATAAAGTGGGTAATCCGAGAATATATTTTTTCTTATAGGGAAAGGGAGGATCCAAACAAAAAATTGTTGGAGTTCTGCTTTAGGGGACAGTGTCACCTTGTCAGGGAAAAGTGACATTGTCTTTGTAAAGCAACACCCCTACCTTACCCCAAACCCCTCATACTCACCTTGCCAGCATTTCTTCAAACCTCTGTCACAGCTGGTGGCAATACCCTTTGCTGGGTATGGAGAAGCATGTGGTCTTCTCCTATTTGAACAGAGGTTGGTGTCCTTGAAATGTCCATCCATGATAGTGGATCTCTGGAAGTGCAGGCTAGTCTTGCAGTTCTGAGTGAGTCTCCCTGATGAGTCACTGGAAAGGCAGCTTTCGTATTAGCAGCTTGGTGGATCTCTGGTAGTGATGTATCTTTCGGAAAGCCACTGTGCTAGGCCTGTAGCAGTGAGGCTTCTTAATTCTGCTGGTGGCCAGGGCGCTTTTGTGTGTGGCTTTGGTGGCCTGCTGCTTTTCAAAGAGATTTCCCAATAGTGGACTTATGAGTGGTCTTTTAGACAGTGCCCTAGCAGCCAATTGGAAGAACTGAGCACTGTCCGATGACTGGAAGTGACGTTACCCCTCCAGTTAGTGTCCTATGCAAGGCACAGTAAGCATTTTAGCTCTCCAAATGTGCTAAGGGAAGGTGCAGTGCATAAATCAATCCAAGTATTAAAAACTCATAGTCTTTAAGCTAATTAAAATCATAACAGACAATCAAAACAATATATATAAATGGATATAAAAGTCCCAATAAGCAATCTCTGTGACGTGAAGGTGCTATTCCACCAGGTTGTGCACATATATACTGGAATCAGCCAAATAGTGGGAAGTGCTTATCATCTGGTGGTGTGCGATAGATTAGTGGGATTGCAAACTCACCAGAAGCGCAATCTTAATGTGCATTTAGCCAAAATTTTTCCAGCCTGGAGATCTTCCTTCAATGGAACCTGATCTATTCTGGAAATCTTTCCCTCTGATGGTGTGGGTGTTTAAGGTGAGGTCACTCAGAGGTTCCTCTCATGGATGGTCTGGTCATAGGGGAATTAATCCATCTTCCAGCCGGATGGGGCCTAGGTCCTGAGGGTTTAAATGCTCATGGTAGAGCAAGAAATAGGGATCTCATAGTGTAGTACTCTTGTCGTTTATTAAGGGAGTTATAAATATGAATAAAAAGGTGTACACACATGTAAATAAAAATCAGGTGAGCGAAGTATGAAACACTCTGTAAACAATCAGGTGTAGCTATAATATAATAATATAAAACGAGCACTGGATCTATGAACAAAAAGCAGCTGGCATGAAAGGCAACACCCCTGAACCTTCTAGGAAAACATATATAAAAGACATGCAGCACTAAAAATATACAGTGTTAAAAATTCCAAGTGTGACCTTAGTAGTAGGTCATAAATTGTTGATGTCTCTTGGATAGATGAAATAAAGTCTATGTAAGGACTAAACTAAATAATGGCCGCCGCTCGCGCAATCTGCGCATGCGCGATCTGTGCATGCGCGAATGGACGGCAGCGACGTCACTGTCCCACTCTGTGCATGTGCGAACTGTAGTATATAAGAGCTGTCACAGAGGGAGGCACGCTTCCTTTGAGAGCGTGCTTTCGCACAAAACATGTCAGGAAGCTGCCCTCAGTGACATACCACGTGGCTTTCCTTATATGGCCAGCGGCCATCTTTAACATTGCACATTTAGAGTGCAATTTTTTTTCCTTTATTATTGATATACCTCAATTGTAAAAAAGCAGTTTTGCACTATGGATCGATGTGCACCAATTCTTTGTGCTTGGGCTCATTTTGTTATGAGCCTTCCCTTTCAAGGAGACCATTGATGACATCCACAAGTGTTGGCTCCCCCTGGTGTTCTTGGATTGCACTCCTGGTACATGCACTCCTTGTACATGTAAGCCCTTTTTGTATGCTGTAATTCCTGCTGATGTCCACCAGATGACCCGGATTTCCAGATGCCTAGATGTAGATGACCAGGAGTTGGTCTAATCACTCAAATGCGCTTAATTTTGCGCTATCTGGTTAGTGCAATCTACACATTCACCATACCACTAATGTCATGGTTGCCAACTGGTTATTGATGATTGATGGATATTTTCACTATACGCACTTATACTAACCCCAGCGTGCTGTGTAGCATCTTATCCAATCACGAAGAACTGTAGTAATACTTTTTGGGTTATTTCATCTACCCAAGAGACGTTAACAATTTATGACCTACTACTAAGGTCACACTTGGAATTTGTAACACTGTAATCAGGTGTTGCTAGTCAGTGCTGCCAATGTTACTAACCAGTCAGTAGGGAATGGTGGCCGCCGGACCTCCTTGATCCGGCGGCGTGACGTCACTGGGTAGTGGGGCTCCTCCTTGACACGTTGCGTATAAACATACGTCCTCAGAAGGGGCGATGCCTTGACTACCTGGACGTCTATTGTGCTATATATATAGTTTCAAATGGCGCGCGCTTATTAGCGAGCAACATTTTGCCGAAGATCTGTACAGACTGCGCATGCGCGAGAACCGCGGGCGCCATATTTCTGTGGATCATTGTCGGCTATTGCAAATCGCACATGCGCAAATGCTGCCATGTTGTCTACAACAATCTTCTAAGATCAGACTGCGCTTGCGCAAGAGCCGTGGGCGCCATGTTTCTGTGGATCATTATCGGTTATTGCGAATCGCATATGCGCGAATGCCGCCATATTCTTGAAGGTCATAGCTGTGTCAAATATATATGCGTTTATACGGGCGGAACTTAATATTAGTCAGAGATGGTGATAAACACATTAAGTGCCAGTCAGCCAGCTAACTATGGGTCTGAGCTACTCAGCATGAATGTGGCCATAATGTTATAATTATGCGATGATTCATTAGCTGTATATAAAATCTAAATATAAGAGATAGAGGTAATAAGCATTATGCTGTCTGGTGTTTAACATGCAGCACGGACTACGGCATACTACGGCATACAATTGAGTTATCACAGGTTACAATCAGCGTTTATCAAATAATATGAATGCAAACATAATACAAAGATGATTTAAGCTAAATATGGACTTAATGACACCCATACATTATGGTATAAGAATGATAATAACAATGAAGGTCTAATGATAATAAAAATGATAAAAATAGAATAAAACATCAATGCAAGCTTCAAATGGATAAAAAAGGGGGGTCATGTGGATAGACATATATAAAGAGGTACAGATTATGCAAACAGGAGCATGGTATCATAATTTGGTAAAACTGTCAACTATTGTCTATGAAGCAGTTAATATTGATATCGATATTATGGCCTGCAGGGGTAAGGGTCCTCATTTCATAGATCCATTTGGTTTACATTTGTGAAATGAGGCTCTTTTTGTTTGAACCTCTCCAATGTTGCTGGACCATGTCTATTCCAGTGAATTTAAGGGATGATGGATCACAATTATGATGATACCGAAAATGTTTGGATACCGAGTGTTCCCTGAAACCCTTCTTGATGTTGTAGCAGTGTTTGCGAAATGTATCGCGTAACCTTCGGGTTGTGCGGCCGATATATTGTTTTCGGCAAGGGCACTCCAGAAGATACACCGCGTATCTAGTATTGCAGGTTATGAAATGTGTGATATCGAATGTTCTACCAGTTACAGTAGACATAAAAGTTTCGATTCTTCTTTTAGATGTTCTAGTCTGTACACAAAAACCCTTCAAGGAAAAAAACCCTTCATGTTTGTGAAAAAACTCGGTCTAGGGGGGTGTGTTAAATCACATTAGGTGAGATTTTTGTTCTGAGGGTGGGTGCTCTTCTGAAGACTACTTCCGGTTTATCAGGTAATGTTTTGGCTAAGATTAGATCTGCCTTAAGGATGTTCCAGTTTTTCCTGATAATTTTTTATTAATGACTTTGTGCTGTATGGAAAAGGAGGTGACTAAAGGGCAGAACATGCTTTTCTTCTGCACGGCAGTATTAGACAGCATTACCTCCCTATTCATGTCTGCTACATGGGATATTTCAGTGTCCAGAATCTTTTCTTCATAGCCTTTCTCCATAAACCTCTGTTTGAGTATATTAGCCTTAATATGGTATGCTTCAATGTCAGTACAATTACGCTTAATTCTCATGAATTGACCTCTGGGGACATTGGCCAACCAGGATGGGTGGTGACAGCTATCGGTGGGAATGTAGCTGTTTCTATCCGTTAGCTTAAAGAATGCTTCAGAAGTTAGATAGCCTCCCTTGTTCAGTATCGTAATATCTAAGAAATTGATTTCAGTTGTGCTGTAAGTGTACGTGAGTTGTATATTTAGGTCATTGTTATTAAGCGTACCAAAAAAGTTGACTAAAGCAGATTCATCACCCTGCCAAGTAGAATGTCATCAATATAGCGTTTGTAAAATAACAGTTCTGGCCAATCCCTGGCGTATATGACGTCCTCTTCCCACCTGGCCATGAAAAGGTTGGCCAGGCTAGGGGAAAATTTAGCCCCCATTGCAACACCCCTTACGCTTCTTTTGTGTTGCCTGACCCTAAAAAATGAGACTGTGGGTATGGTCCACCTTGCTAGTCTCTTGATCTGTAATTAAGTGTTCTTGCATAGCAAGGAACACTTATTGTTATCTCACATATATATTCTTATTCTTATTCCGTTTCTTCTTATAGCCATATTTGCCACGCTAACTCCTCCCACAGTTTTTACACTACAAAGACAAGTAATATATCAAAACGTGCGGATTGTTCCCGATTGGATTGCTATTTTCCCATAGGAATGCATTGAGCAACTAGAGTGAGAAATGACAAATCTAGAGTGTAGAAGGAAAAATCAGAACATGATTTGTAAACTGCCATCAGTCTGTCATTTTCCATTCCTCTCAGAGTGAGTTGTCATAGCAACCCAGCTGTCTCAGCACAGTGAGCCTACTCCGCCCTCTCCAGGTGCAGCAACCAAAGGTCACTCAAGAGGCAGATGACTCACCAGGCTGGTGTGAGCTTCAAAATACAAGCTGAAATGCATTTCTCACTATCAGGCTTGCAATGTGCACTGCTTACATTTCATCAATCATTTGGTAAAGGTTGCGGCAAGAACACTTTACACAATTTCCCCAGAAATTGTAGATTGTCTAGTTAAGTGTTCTTGCATAGCAAGGAACACTTATTGTTATCTCACATTATATTCTTATTCTTATTAAGTGTTCTTGCATAGCAAGGAACACTTATTGTTATTCATATTATTCTTATTCTTATTATTATAGCCATATTTGCCACGCTAACTCCTCCCACAGTTTTTACACTACAAAGACAAGTAATATATCAAAACGTGCGGATTGTTCCCCGATCGGATTGCTATTACTTTTGGAACGTTTCGCCGAATCGTTCAAGAAATATCGCGCGTTTTTTTGGCGAAATTTTCCCATAGGAATGGTGCATTAGAGAGCAGCAGAGCACAGCTAGAGTGTGCAAAGGAAAAAT